CCCTGACTGGGCTTGAACTCACAGACATCCACCTGCCTTCTCTTCTTAGTGCTGGAATTAAAGATGTCCGCCACCATACCCAGCCCCATACACATTTTATATTGTCACAACTTCGAGGTTTTTTTTTTTTTTTCAATATCTGTAGATTTTCAGTCATGGAAATATTTTCTTGCTCAAGATTATTAAAAACTCCTATATATTCTCCTAATAATACTTCTACAATTTTATTTGTAAATATTTAAATTCTAGAACCATTTGAATTTGTAATACTGGATCTTAGCTCAGTATATGCTTGGATGGTTGGATACTGAAATCTCAACAAAATGAAAGGTAGTCAGGGTAGGGTAAGCATAGCATGTTAGATGAGTCTAGCTAATTCTAGGGCATAATTAGTAGCCCCACTGTTTAAATTTCCATTTCATCTTGTCCTGTATAAGTTTTGTTGCAGTTTCTGTTTTTTCCCCTCCCAACACCCAAGGAACTCTGTTTAGATGAATAAAAGCCTTCTGCTTTATTAACAGTTAATTGGAAAAACGTAGGTCCTTTTTCTTTATTTGTACTGATCAAAAGGCTTATGTCTGGTTCTTTTATTAATGAAGAGGAATATTTGAGGTCCCTGTTTCTTAGTTACAATTGCTAATTCATAGTTTACAAAATGGGGTGTTTTGTGACTGTCATCAAGGAGGTGGAAAGCAGTGGAGGTGATCTGACCAGGGAATGTGGCATTCTGAGGGAATGCATTTACTATTATTTTTAATTTATTAAGTGACTAACATTGCTCAGAGACATAGGCTTTGGAGATTTCTGATTTTTCTAATAACTCTGTTACTGAGGAAGATTTTTGCCTGGGTCTGTTTACTGTTTCTACTGGCTAGCCAGCTCTTTTCTGTATAAATTACCAATAAAAGTTGTAGATCCCCTGTAGATCTCAGGCAATCATGATGCTAGTCTTTCGCTCTGTCGAGTTCTCAGAAACTTTTTGGCCCTGAACACAATGTTTGTAATCTCCCTTTAAAAAAATTACTACATTTGTTTATTTGTGTGTGTCACATGCATTGTGTAGGCTCACACATTCCATCATGGACATGTGGTGGTCAGAGGACAACTTGAGGGAGTCAGTTCTCTCAGCATGTGGGTCCCAGCAGTCAAACTCAGGTTATTAGGCTTGGGGGCAAGCACCTTTACCTGCTGAATCTTCTCAACCAAAGTATCTCTAACCCAAAGCAGGAGTTTGTGATGCTGCACTGATACTGCTAGACTCGGTCTTGATGGCCAGTGCTGCTGCATGTCCCAGCCCTTCAGCCCTGATAACAAAGCCCATTTAATTTAAAGTAAATAAAGAGTCAAATCCAGAGAAATGGACTTGAGGTGACTTATTTCCTACTTTCTTTTTGTGGTGTCAGACACATCCTTTCAAATGTGTTTGTTCTCTTCCCCCACTTTTTGTCCTATGTCGGAGTTTTGTTCTTCGATATTTACGTTGTGTGTGTGTGTGTGTGTGTGTGTGTGTGTGTGTGTGTGTGATGTATGCCTGTGTACATGTGTGCAGGTGCATGCACATATGTGTGTGGAGGCCAGAAGTCAGTGTTGGGCATCTTCCTCTTTCAGTTTCTGCCCCATTATTTTGAAACAGGTCTTTCACTGAACTTTGAGCTGACTGATTTGACTAGATTGGCTAGCCAGGGATCTTCCTGTCTCTGCTCCCCACTGCTCACCAGTGCTTAGGTTACAGATGTGCACTGCCAAGTCTGACTGTTATGTGGGTTCTGGGACATCTAAACTCAGGTCCTTATGCTTGAACAGCAAGCAGTTTATCCACAGTGCCATTTCCCTAGCCCTGTTTTGTTTTTGAAAATACACACAAATGAAACTCATCATGGTTGTTTGTTTTGAGAAAACTAGTATGTTAAACTTTGCTGGTCTCAGTGTCACACACTTGTAATCTCAGCACTGAGGAAGCTGATCAGGATTTGAAGCCAGCTTGGGCTGCATAATAAACTGCCTCAGAAAGACAAACAAAAGTCAAACTTTGGATTTAGGGGCCAAGGATATAACTCAACAGTAAATTGCGTGGCCCTGGCTTAAATCCCGAGCACTAAAAAAACTGTGTTCTCCACACCCCTAGATTAGGTTCTGATTTTTTTTTTGAACCAGGATCTCACTATAGCCCCAGCTGACCTGGAGCCTTGGAACTGGCTATGTAGACCAGGAGCTGGCCTTGAACTCACAGAGATCCACCTGCCTCTGCCTCCTGAGTGCTGGGATTAAAGGTGTTCACCACACCTTGCACCTGATTTATTTTTTTAATCATCATTTATGAGTCTTTCTGGAGAAGATGTAAGTGATCTGGTGTTACATATAAAGAAACAGCCAGGGCCAGCAGCATGGCTCAGCAGGTGAAGACCTGGCTCACAGGCCCGGTGACCTGAGTTCAATTCCTGGAACCCACGTAAAGGTGGACGGAGAGAACTTGCTCCACAGAGTTTTCCTCTAACCACACGTGTGCTATATGCCATATGTGCCCCCATCATGCAACACACATAATAATAATAGTAATGAAATAGCCACTTCCAAAGGTGAAGTAACTGGTTCAAAATAGTAGTTAGTGGACAAAATAGTGCCAAAGCTCTGCCCTGGGAAGGCCTAGTCTACTAGGAAACACATTAAATATAATCATTTTGTGTAATTTTCCTTAAAGATCGTGCAATACCTTTAAATAATGAACTGACGGAAACAATTTTTACAGCAAATTGTTGCATAAAGCAGCATTTCACAAACTCATTTCAGATCTATTAATGTACATGAAACAAGAAAGCAGGTAATATGGAGAACTTGCTCCCCTTTCAAAACTGTACCATAGGTTTGGGGGGAGAGTGTTTTGTTTTGTTATTTCAGTGCTAAGAATCTCACACATACTAGCCAAGCCTCATCCCAGCCCCCAACTTAGGGTATTAATGTGTATGAAAATACCCTTCAATCATGGACCCAGGTTGCCACTGTTGACTGCTCAATAGCTCTGTGTGTGTGTGTGTGTGTGTGTGTGTGTGTGTATGTGTGTGTAGCATATCTCAGTGAGAGGACTTAAATAGCAGTTTGTGTCAATATTTATGCATCCCTTTGCAACGGTACAACCAAGGTCATTTACCTGCAGGATCAGTGAAGTTGAAGGTCAGACACACTCAGAGCTCTTCTGAGTAGCCATAATTTGAGTATATAATAGCTGTAGATGACTTGAAGAGCCAATGAATAGGCAAAATGAGGTAACCTACCCACTGTTGGACCTTAACAACTGTCTGCAGAACACAACTGGAAGGGGATCGAAGACAGAGCCTGCTGGATGATCTGGTAACTCGAGAGAGACTACTTCTGGCATCTTTTAAGAATGAGGGTGCGGAGCCGGATCTGATCAGGTATGATGCTTTCATTTACAGGGATTCCCGGCCCATGAGGGCTTACGTGAAGTTACTACAGCTGTTTTCTGCATGGTTTCCATTCTTTATAAAATCTGTTCCTTTATAGTGTTTGACTGTAATTTCCCATTGACTTTAGTTTTCATTAATTTCCAAGGTTTAGTAAGCCCAGTGTATTCAGCAGAATCCCATGTTAGGTGGGGTACACTTACAGAGAATACAATTAGAAAATTTCTTTGTATTCTTTGAGGTCCCTGCCTTGTATACTTCTGAAATTAGATGCTTACGCTTGTGGAAAAATGCATTTTAATGGCTAATCGAAAACTGTGCCCTTATAAGACTAGTGCAGGGCTCACAGAGAGGGATTTAGCCATGGATTCTCCTCCCAGTTCTGTGCCAGAAAGTGATTCGCACTCCACATAGCTGACAGTTGCTCTTAACTCAGCCTCAGAGACAAAACCCAGCTTTCCATTGCTGAGGTTAAGGAGGGATAAATTGTTACATCTTTGGAACTGGCTTTCCCTTGCTTCTGGTACTCTCCTAAGGGCATGGTGAGAGCCATCTCAGAAGGAAGGGAGCTCAAGAGAGACACTCCTCCCCTTTCCTGGGCTCTAGCACTAGTGGGATGTGTTCATTGTGGAGAGGCAGCTTTCTGCTTAGGGATAATGTGGCTTCCCAAGGGCCACATTACCAGACTCCACCTTAGACATTCAATCCAAATGGGGTGGGGTGGGCATCCCAGGTGATCTTGTAGACAGCCGGACTTGCAAACCATGCCCTAAGACGGGCTGGAGAAGAAGCGACAGTTTCACTTCTGTTGGTCCCAAGCCTCTCAGGAGCAGGTAAACCAAGGTCGTCAGAAATTACAAAACAAGAAGCTAGGTGAAATAGTAAGTCACTTCTATGAAGGAATGGAACTCCAGTTAAGGTGGGATGAGTTGTGTTCTTCTTGGCAGTATCCCGGTTGAGGTTTTTAAATACAGGCAGAAACCTGTGGTAAGGCCAACTTCTGCTTCTCCTTATAGCTCTGTGGCAGTATTCAGTCCTGTAGATACAAGGGGTAAAGTAGGTGATGAGGGTAATGATCCAGATTAATGAGCCAGAACAGGTAGGCAGGGAATCAAGATGAAAAGAAATTACCATCTTTCAATAGGACCTTCACATTGAAGGAAGAGGTCATTTTGGTCAAGAAATTGATAGGGCTAGGCATAATCCCTCATTCCTATAATCTAAGCACTTGTGAGGCTGAGATAGGAGGATTGCCATGATTTGGAGACCAGCCTGGGCTACAGAGTGAGAAACTGTCTTTAAAAAAAAAAAAAAAAAAAAGAATTAACAGAGGCATGGGTGGGTGTGGCACCAGGGTGGGCAGCCTGAATGGGTTATCACAGAACTGAAAAGGCCGAGGGACTGTGGTTTCTTCACTTTTATTTCTTCATTCACACATGAGTGCCAAAAGCACAGACAACTCTGCTTATATACTCATTAGAATTACAGCTGAATATTTATAGAACAATGAGTAATAATGAAGTGGCCAGAATATAGCAGTTGAATAAAACACGAGCAAGACAGCATTATCGCCATAGTATGCCTTCTTGGGAGAACAAGTGTCTCTTGAGAAACTAGGGGAGTACAGGCATTCCAGAGATAACTCCTCAGCAAGCATTCTTGCATAAACTTTCTCATGAGACAAGGCTCTCCAGGCATAGGTGCTCAAGGTTACATACAGCTTATTTACCAAACATATATATATATATATATTTTGGTCTTTTTCTGAGACAGGGTCTCCCAGTAGCCCCAGCTGGCCTGGAACTCACTATGTAGACCAGGCTGGCCTTGAACTCACAGAGATCCGCCTGCCTCTGCCTCCAGAGTGCTGGGATTAGAGGTGTGCGCCACCACGCCTGGCTTACCAAACATATTTTTAAAGCCATAGGAACACTATTTCACAGTCCCTATAGGTGGGAAATATGTTTCCTGGGAGAATGAGGGTTGAGAAGAGAGAGGACAGTCAGGAAACACTTCAGTTCTCCTGTTTGATCATGGTGGGGGTGGTCATGAAACAGATCGTTACCATTTGGCAAGAAGCTGTTCTGCACCAGACTCCAATAATCACTCTTCATTAACTGTGTCATTTAATGATGTCAAAGGGGCCAGGGTAAGAATTAGACCTTTGTGGTTTGGGTTTTGTTCCCTCTTTTTGCAATAGTCTTTGTGTCTTGCTAGTCCAAGTACAGCCTACAGCTGAGCAGCCCCAGCAGCACCTGGAAGCATGTTAAACATTTGGAATCGCAGCTCCAGCCTAGGCCTGCTGGATTAATGCCTGCATTTTTATAGGATAATCAGGTGATCTGAAGGCATGGTAGGATTTTAGAAATACTGTTTTGCCTCTATTTTTGTTTTTTGGGATAGGATCTCACTGTGTAGCCCCAGCTGGCCTAGAATTCACTATGTAACCCAGGCTGGCATCACACTCACAGAGATCTACCTGCCTCTGCCTTCTAAGTGCTGTGATTTAAAATGTGTGCCACCACACCTAGCAGCTTTGCATTATCAGTTTATAACTGTTGCACTTTGTGCATCAGAGCCATCTAAGAGATTCATCAAAAAGAGACAAGGAAAGGAAAGGGAAAAGCTCCAAGCATCAGATCTTAAACTTGCAGTCTGATAAGTAGTCTGGGTTGAAGTCTGGATGGCAGTGAGTCTGGAGAAGCTCCATAGGGTATTCTAGTAGGTAGCAGCGTTAGACCTTCTGCTTCATGCCATAGTGACAATAATGATGCACTACTATGTTGGTTTTTCTCTGCACTAGGCACTGTGGTTAACTCAGCAGCCCTTTGCATATCATCTCATTTTACAGAAGAGAAAGAGACTCAGAGGTAGAGAGGGGGCTGAATTCAAAGCCAATCAGTTGCAGAGGTTGGATTTTTAGATACAAAATCTTAACTTCTATACAACATAAAAGGCTGGAGCAGGCATCTTACTGGTCCCTCAATCACTGGAGTTCAAGTCATTGACTTTAAATTGGGCTGTGTTCTGCCCATTTTTCATTATTGTTAGGATCAAATGAGATGATTGCTGTTAAGAACTTTGCACACACATGGGGACTGGAGAGATGGCTGGGGGTTAAGAACACTGGCTGCTCTTGCAGAAGACCCAGGTTCAGTTCCCAGCACCCACATGATGGCTAACAGCCATCTGTAACTCCAGTTTCAGGAACTCCGACACCTATTCTGGCCTCACAGGGCATTGTGTAACATAGGTGTGCTTATATAAATGCAGGCAAAATACTCATACATATAAAAATAAATATATTTTTTAAAAGCTTTACATATACAAAAACATCTATAAATGCAGGATGTTATCACTAGAGTGTTGTGTGTAGGACCAAATAAGGTGGTTGTGTTAAGGGCTTTGCACACACTGAGAAAACGATAAACACAAGGTGTTATCACTGGAGCATTGTGTCTCTACCAGTTAGAGGGAACTCTTGTTGCTGCTTGGCTTTGGAGACCTTCTGTCCCGCCTGTTATATGCTCTGCTTTCTAAAGGGACCTGGCCTCCTTGGTCAGTCTTGTTCTGTGTGCCATGCCTGGTGCTTATCCTCACGTTGTTCCCTTTCAGATCTTGTTTATTCTATGTCCTTTTATATCTGTGCCCAATATGCTGCCTGTTGTCTTGTTAGTAGACAGTCTTAGGTTAATTGTAGCTGTGAAATCAGTGTCTAATAGTAGCTGGATTTTTGGATATAGTGTAGCTAAAGCTTCCTTGTATCCTACGATTTGCACCAAAGTAAAATTGATGAAAGAATTTCAGGGAAGTTGGCAAGTTAGAAACAAAGATTGTTTTATTTCTGGTCATATGCTTGAAGATCTCTTAACTACTGTCACTAGGACTGCCTTATTCTTCTTGTGTGTCAGTCTGATCCACATGGACCTAAAGCAGTTAGATATTGTTGGTTTTTTTTTGGTGTATCAGGGTGACTTGGGGGCAAAGAGACCAGACTGAGAAGAAACTGAAGCAAAAATGAACTTCAGGGGTTGCAATATATTTAAGGTAATTGGCCAACAATTTTCATTCAGGAAAAGAAGTCTTGACTAGTTCAGAATGAGCTTCCAGAGAAGTTCTGGTTAAGAAGTGTGTGAGCACTGTCGAGGTGAAGTGACTGCTGAAGGGTGGTGTGAAGAGGTATGAATGGGCATGACAGATGGTGAGACCCATTCCACAGGACCCAAAGTTTGGCCAGGATAAGAAACCAATGTAACAAATAGGTATCAATCACCACAAAGAAGTAAAATCATTGCAGATGAAAAAGAATACAAAGGAAAGATAATGGTAGAGGTTCTGGAAGGTGAATTCCCATTCCCTTCCTTGGTGAGTCCTTGTTGGGCTGGGATGATATGAATCCACTGTGTCTACTTTAACAGGAACATGTCTATGTACTTGAACAAAAAATGCAAGTCCTGTAGTAGGCATGTCAAGAAATTTTAGCTAGTAAGAAATTACATGGTAGACAAAACTGTTTCAAATTGGTATGCAGAAAGCCCCTGGGAACTCTGCTACAAGGGTGATGAAAATGGATTCCCAGAATGCGTTGATCTAATAAGGCTGGGAGATAGCACATTGTTGACTTACAGTCCATAAGGATATTGAGCAAGTGAAGGGACACAAAAGCTGAAGTAGTAGATTGCTTAGATTCAAAGTTGGAGCTGCTGGTCTCTGATTTCATTCACCTGTCTATGCCAGAGTGTTATTTTTGCCTTCTTTACTCTTCATCCCCACCCTGTACCCCCCCAGCTCATGATTCTTTTGTTTGACTGTAGCCTCAGTTGTGAGAGTCTGAATTCAACTATAGACATGACTAATGGCAGTTTACAGTTTCCCTTTACCTTTTTGCCTCCTGATTGTCAGGTTGCCCCAGACATTTCTAATACCAGCTGCTAGACCCCTCCAGCTGTGTGTTTGAGCACATTTCCTTCCCTTCTTTTCTACCAGCAGTG